CCACCATTGGGTGTGACCCAAATTACAAAGAGGACAATAAATAAACTAAGATCTAACTCAAAGAGGTAGAAAAGAAAACCAGCCAAAGATGAAAAATTATAAAAGTATATAGTTATCATCAAATAAATCTGATGGTTGTTTGGGTTTTGTATGTGTGTGTGTGTGTGTTGTTGGGGGAGGGTATCACAACTTTTGGTGCTAAGGATTTAGCTGCATGCAATAAAAGTAGCTTACCTGCTGTGCTATCTCTCTGGCTCCATAACATTTTTGGGACCCGTGATGGTGGAAAATGGGCACTGGTGGAGGGATAGGTGTACAATTGATCATTGTACAATTGAAACCCAAGCACAAAAATTTGTAAGTCTACAACTATACCTCATGGTGTTTCACTAACAAAAATTTTTAAAAAAATGTAAATGATAGAGAATGGGCACTGGTGGAGGGATGGGTACTGGATCATTGTATAACTGAAACCAAAGCACAAAAATTTGTAAGTCTACAACTGTACCGCATGGTGTTGCACTAATAAAAATTTAAAAAAATAAATAAATTAGTTAATTAATTTTAAAAAAAGTAGATGTGGGTTTAGAACCCAGTGGTAGAACACTTGTCTTGCATATATGAGGCTCTAAGCTCAATTACAGGCAATGCCAATAATTGATATTAATTGATAAGACTGGCATAAACCAATAGAATTGATTATTTTGGGGCAGTGGTAGATGTCCAATGACATGTCTTATAGGTACAAGACCCTAAATTTGATCCTTGCACTGTATGACCCCTCCAAGAACAACTGGACCCACCACAGAAATGCCCTCTCCTCCACAATAAAAACAACTGACTCTTTTTTTTTTCCTTTGGTTTTTGGTCCCCTGAGCACTGCCAGGAGTAATTCCTGAGTGCAAAGCCAGGAGTAACCTCTGCATCACCGGTGTGACCCCAAAAAAGTTAAAAAAAAAGACTAAAGAGGTAGAAATTTCAAAAACCAATAATTACAGCAGTAATTGAAAAAGTGTTCAAGGAGCTATTCCTGCCCCCTCCCTTACTAATGGCAGCAGGTCCGGAGTTTTATAGGTGAATTCCATAAAATCTACATAGAAAAGGAAATTCTTGTGATCTATAACTCTTCCAGAGAATATAAAAGTTTACAACTTATTCTACAAGACTAGTAACAAAAAAACAGACAATGCCCTTTAAAAAATCTACAGATTACCCTATTTTCTAATTTATTTGTAAAGGTTCTAAACAAAATACGAGCAAGCCAAACAAGAATTATATAAGAATAATAATCTTAGGTCGCCGAGAGATAGTACAGGGGGTATGATGTTTGCCTTGTACATGGCTGACCCTGGTTCGATTCCCCAGCATCCCATATGGGACCCAGAGCACTGCCAGGAGTGATTCCTGATTGCAGATCCAGGAATAATCCCTGAGCATAGCTGGGTGTGGTCCCAAAACGAAAGTAAATAACTTTAAATAACTGAAGTGCAAGCATTCAAATATGCAAAACTGATAGCAGTAACAACATAAATTGATACATAAACATTAAAAGAAAATAAATTATAGGATTATTTTTCATAGAATTATTTTTATTTATTTTGCGGGAACCTAAGTATTACTCAGAAGCTCTGGAGGCCATTCCTTGCAGTACTGGGCCCACCTTTACCGAGGCTTGTGATACGGTGCTGCTCAGGCCCACTGGTATTACTGGGGACCACTAACACCACCAGTGCTCAGGACCATCAGGGCTACACCTACTGCACCTACAGGGGACGATGTGTGGCAGGGATCAAACTCAGCGCCTCACATATGCAAAGGCATGAGCTCCAATATATAGGATTATTTCAGCAGGTGCCAAAGCAGTTGCCTTTTTCCCCAATGCTTGCAAAATCTGTCAATTTAGGGATGTCTGGAGGAGCAGAACCTGTTGAATAAAAGACCAGCTTTCCAGAGACCTGCTTTTCCAGACTCCTTTGCAAGCTGGGTGTCAGGCACATGGCTAACCAGCCTTCTACCCTGACTTTGAGTCAGGAGCTGGTGTCACACGGAACCAAGAATGGGGCCAATTCTCTGGTGGCAGGGAGGCAAGGAAGCACCAGTGCTGGCTCAGCAGCTGGAGCAGTGCAGGTCAGGCGGCAGTGCCCCACCTGGTCTTGCAGCGGGAGCAGAGCTTGGCTCACCCAACTGGTTTTGCAGCTTGGCTCTGGGCACTGTTTCTGGCTACCTAGTTCCAAGTCTGGTTCTCTAGAGACCTCACTAAGAAGTCAGCAAAGGAGCCCATGAACTTTCCTTTCAGAACTTTTTTCTTTTTCCTTTGGTCACACCCAGCCATGCTCAATACCCACTCCTGGCAGGGCTCAGGGGACCATATAGGGTATCAGGGATCAAACTTGGGTTGACCACAAGGCAAGATCCCTACCTGTTCTAACATCACTGTGTACCTCACCCTATCCCACCCCAAAGTGTGTGTGTGTGTGTGTATGTGTGTAATTCCCTCTACCTCCCTTTGTTTTGTTGGTGGTGGTGTGATAACTAGACATTGCACACATGTGTGGCTGTGGTGTTAGTGCATTTGCAACTGTAAATGACACGGTGGTATTTACTGGGGGTTGTGTATTAGGATGTGGTGCTTACACCCACGCTAGGCCATGGTGCGTGCCAAGGTTTGCACTCCTTGAGTTGTGGTGCTTCCATGTGCTCTTCAGAGCCAGCATGCTTACTTGACACACATCATAGTCATGGCGCTCACTGGGCTGTGCTGCCCAGTCACAGTGCTTGCAGGCATTTTTAGTGGTGGCGCTTGCACCCTTTTATGGTGCTTATACAACCTGGTGATTAGACAACCACGCTGCCAGGCTCGTGCTTGGCACATTGGGAACATAAGAGATTTGAACTTGTGACTATATTCTTGCCACTGTATTTTTATTTGGGGTGGGGCACACCTGGTGGTGCTCAGAGATTGTGTGGTGCTTGGGGGACCATATGTGGTGCCAGGACTTGACCAGGATGACAACTACTGCTACATGCAAGGCAAATGCCTCACTCTTTGTACTTTTGGTCTGAGCCTAGCTAATGTATTTTTCATAAAATTTCTTGTCAGCCTAAATTAAAACATTTTCTGGGCTGAAGAGATAGTAGTTAATGAGTTTGCCTTACATGCAGCCAACCCTGATTCAATCCCTGAATGCACATATTGTCCCTAAGGACCACCAGAAGTAAATCCTGAGTCCAGAGCCAAGAACAGCCCCTGAGGGTTGCAGAGAATAATACAGTGTGCTTGACTTGCACGTGGCTGACCTGGGTTTGATCCCTGGCACCCTGAGCCCTTCCAGGAGTGATCCCTAAATACAGAGCCAGGAATAAGCCCTGAGTACCACTGAATGTGGGCCACAACAGGAAGGGGAAAGGAAGAAAAAACCAAAAAACCCTGAGCATCACCATGTATGGTCCCAACTTCTACCGTCCGCCCCCATCCTGCCAAAGGGACATTTTCTGTTTACAAATTAAAAAGCGTACAGGTTGGGCCAGAGTGATAGTACAGCTGGGTGGGCGTTTGCCTTGTACATGGCAGACCCAGGGTCTATCCCCAACATCCCATATGGTCCCCCAAGCAACGCCAGGAGTAATCCCTGAGTGCAGAGTCCGGAGTAACCCCTGAGCAACACTGAGTGTGACCCAAAATGCCACCAAAATAAAAGTGTACAGGTTAACTGCATTTGATTCAAATATCTCCCCTTTCCCCAGTCACCAATGGTAAGCAGATATGAGCAAGTTCACGCAGTTATAGTCTCCCTTTTGGGAGACATTTTTGTCATCAGAAGGGACAATAAGCCAACAGACATGTGGTTGCCTTTCCTGTTTTTGGTTTTGAGCTACACTTAGTTCAGTACTTACTCCTGGCAGGCTTGGGGACCATGAGGGATGCTGTGGATTGAACACAGGTCAGCCACGTGCAAGGCAAGCACCTTACCCTCTGTAGCTATCTTTTCGGCCCCCTGTTGATGTTTTGAAATCAGCACCTAATCTGGTGTGGGGAAGATCAAAACGTTTTTCAGAGGAATAAATTATGAACTGGAATTTTCCAGGTAAGCAAGAGTTAGGTATTAGGCAGAAAGGGATACAGAATGAGAAGAAAATCTTTTTGGACTTGGAGGGGGGCCACACCCATGATGCCGGGGATCACTTCTCACAGTCCTCTGGGGACCATACAAAGTGCCAACAATTAAACCAGGTTAGCCATGTGCAAGGCAAGCACCCTACAGGGTGTACTATCTCTCTGGCTTCTGAGAAGAGAATCTTGGCAAAGGGAAAAAGAAAGATCTTAGAGCGAAAGGTGGAGTTGGTTGTGACCATGGCTATGCAGGCTATGGAAAACATGGAAGGTCATCATGAAGGTGTGGTCAGCAGAGCTGAGGACTGGGGGCTCTGTGCAAGCACTGAGTCAAGGGAAGGGTGGAACGAGAAGGCAGGCAGGGAGGCATGGGAGGGTTAAATTTAGCAACTCTAAGAATGCAGCTATGAAGGGGAAGTGAGAGCAGCAGTTGGAGAGGTTTATAGAAGTTGGGTGAGGCTGGTGGTTGTGGTCCTCTCCCAATCTCCCCAGTGTAGGAGGAAAGTGGGAGAGAGGACGGCCAAAGGGAGGGTTTGGGGAAAGTTGTGGAAGGAGATGATAAAGACCCATGTCCTGGAGAGACCCTGTTCCTAGAGTCACAGGAGCCCCTATCAGGCTGGCATTTCCTCCCCATGCCTGCCCCCTTCCTGCCCTTGATCAGACGCTCCCTGGAGCTGGAAGAGAGAAGGACCCTGTCACCCTGAATGAAGCTGTGTTCTTGGAGGTCTTGCTGCCTGCCTGTAAGCCGGGGCTTGGTGCTGGGGAAGGACAAGGGCTGAGAGGCAAACGGTTTAGGAGCTGTCAGTGTATTTAGGATGGGGGCGGGGGGAAGAGACAAGAGAGGAAAGGCATGGACAGGATGGGAGGTGAGGGAGAGGACAGGATCCTGGAGGCTGCAGCTGGGGTTTGGGGCCAGGAAAATAATTCCAGCCAGCTGTAGGGTGTCCACTCAAACTCCCCTCACCCACAGGTCCCCATGCCTCTTCTCTTCTTGTTGCTCCTGCTGCCAAGCACTTCCCAATCCATCTGTGAGGTCTCTGAAGTGGCCAACCAGATAGAAACAAACTGTGAGAAGCGGGGGCTGAAGATAGTGCCTCCAGGCCTGGCAGCAGAGACAGCCATCCTCCGCCTGGGTGAGAACCCCCTGGGCACTTTCTCCTTGGCTTCTGTGGTGTACCTGACACGCCTTTCTCAGCTGCACTTGGGTGACAGTCAGCTGGCCAGTCTGCAGACTGACGGGACGCTACCACAGCTGGAGACCCTGGATATATCCCACAATAGGCTGAAAAGCCTACCCTCGCTTGGACGATCTCTGCCGGCACTCACAACCCTGGATGTCTCCTTCAACCAGCTGGCCTTGTTGTCCCCTGGGGCGCTGGATGGCCTGAGCCAACTCCATGAGCTCTACCTGCGTGGCAATAAATTGAAGACTCTGCCCCCTGGGCTCCTGGTGCCCACAGCCTACCTGAAGAAGCTCAACTTGGCTGACAATAAGTTGGAAGAGCTGCCCCCTGGGCTCCTGGACGGGCTGGAGGAACTCGACACACTGTACCTCCAAGGGAACTGGCTGCGCACAATACCAAAGGGCTTCTTTGGGCACCTCCTTCTGCCTTTTGCTTTTCTTCATAGCAACCCCTGGTACTGTGACTGTGAAATCCTCTATTTCAGTCGTTGGCTGCAGGACAATGTCAATAATGTTTACTTATGGAAGGAGGGTGTGGATGTCAAGGCTATGACCCCCAATGTAAAAAGTGTGCAATGTGTCAATTTGCCCAAAGTTCCAGTCTACACATTCCCAGGGAAGGGCTGTCCCACCCTTGGTGATGGGGATGATGCAGACGTCTATGATAACTACGAAGAGGAGCATGAAGCAGCTAAGGTACCCGTGACAAGGGCTGTGGTCAGGTTCTCCACCAATACCGAAGCCCACACAACCCATCTGGGCTCACTCCGGTCCGCAACAACTGCTTTTCTACACAAACTGATGCCCCACCTGCCTTTAACCCCAGAATTTACTGAGAATCAGACCACACTCCAAATAACCACAGGATCCACTATAGTTTCCCAAACTCAAAAAGATAATAGTGAACCCACCACAATTCACACCACCCCTGAGCCTATGGCACCCACCACCTCAGAACCCACCACAGCCCATACCACCCCAGAACCCACCACAACCAGCACCCCCCCCGAGCCCACCACAACCAGCACCCCCCCCGAGCCCACCACAACCAGCACCCCCCCCGAGCCCACCACAACCAGCACCCCCCCCGAGCCCACCACAACCAGCACCCCCCCCGAGCCCACCACAACCAGCACCACCCCGGAGCCCACCACAACCAGCACCACCCCCGAGCCCACCACAACCAGCACCACTCCTGAACCCACAACCCAAACCAGTCCAGAAACCGTAAGTCCAACTACTCTGGAGTCTAGTACAACTCAGGCCACCTCAGAATTAACCACATTCTTAACCACCAAACCCACCTCACTCCCTACCACCTTAGAATCTACCACACTTCTCTTTGAACTCATCAATTTCTCAAATGTGCGTGGGATAGCTCAAGGAACTTTGGACTACTCTAGAGATCACCCTTTTCTCAACTCAGACATTTGCTGTCTCCTCCCCATGGGCTTCTATATCTTGGGTCTCCTTTGGCTTCTGTTTGCCTCTGTGATCCTCATCCTGCTGCTGGTTTGGATCCGGCACGTGAAACCACGGGCCCTAGACTTCAATCAGCCAATTGCCCTGGCCACATCCACATATACTACACATCTGGAGCTCCAGAGGGAAAGGCAAGTGCCCGTGCCCCAGGCCTGGCTGCTATTCCTTCAAGAGCCACTCCCTGTTTTCCGCTCCAGCCTCTTTCTGTGGATACGGTCTAGTGGGCGTGTGGGACCTCTGGTAGCAGGACGGAGACCCTCGGCCTTGAGTGTAGGCCGTGGCCATGACTTACTGGGTACAGTGGGTATCAGGTACTCTGGCCATAGCCTCTGATGGCGGAGAATGTGACGGGTTCTCCTACTGAGAACTAGCTGGGGGGGGACGATGGGTAAGAAACAAGAGTCAGGGAAGGTTGTTCTTCTTTTTTCTTTTCTCTTTTGGGTCATACCCAGATTTGCTCGGGCAATTTGGCTCTGTGATCGAGGATAGGATGTGGTGCTGGGGATTGAACCCAGGTCAGGCACATGCAAGGCAAGTGCCTTACCCATTGTACTCTATCTCTCCAGCCCTCGATTACTTCTTACTGTTGAGTATCTTCACTTCATATCACCTGTCCCAACAAATCATGAGAGCTGTAAGAATGGAATTGCACAGATCAAAGAACCAAGTTGCCTATGTTGCTCTGAGATAGGTAATGACAATTTCCCAGATCATCAGGTGACTACCTTACTTTGGGAATCAGCTTTAGGAAATCGTAACAAGGAACATGGATACCTCACATAGCTATGCTGTTACAGAAAACATGGTGAGATTTATCAAGATTCTGGTCCCAACTGCCTCTGGGTGGTATAAATAAATGTAGATGGTCTGATCATCTTTTCCACTGCTTAGCATGTCTAGTCTTCCACTGTGATACATTGTTTGTATAATGAAGGCGTTAAAAACATTCTTACTTTCCTAGGAATGACTGGGGTACTTATCACTAGCATTCTCACTCGACTCTCGCCTTGCTCACTAAACCTGCTTGCACTTTCCCTGGCTGGGGCTCCTCTCCCACCACACCCCCGCACTCCCAAATGAGCATGTACCAGGCTACCCAGGCACTGATTCTAACTTAGTAAGATTCTCTGGAGCTTATTGAGTTTTCAGGCCTTCTTGCTCACAGCCTTGCAATACCTGGAATGGAGGTAGTACCTACTTGCCCCTGCAGGCCCAGAAAGGCAGCACTCCTGAATAGCCCAGGTCAGCAGGACATGGCCGGTCAGTATGCGCCATCTTGGTACACTTTACCTAATTGCCTCTGGTTATTTCTTGCTCTCAAACTAGGTAAAGGGAATCCACTCCTTATGCTCCGCTGGTGCAACCATTCTCCTTACTATTTTCTGGGTGGGGCCTTCTTAGATCCAGTCTTGCTTCCAGCCCAAATATGTTCTGGCACCCAGAGAATGGGAACGAAGGCTGAGTTCTTCTGGCTCCAGGAGACCCCTGCTCCAAATTATGCTAGAACAATCTATGAAATCTGAAAACCTGACTATATCTCTCTTCAATTTTGAATTCTTGCCTGAAGAGAAGACAAACTCTTCCGTATTCTGAGCTACACCTGGCAGTGCTCAGGGCTCACTCCTGGCAGGGCTTGGGGAATCATGCGTGGTGCCAGGGTTCAAACCCAGGTTGGCTGTATGCAAATGCACTACCACGCCAGCCTGAGGACACACTCTTGAGTTGCCTGGCAATCAAGGATTTCTGTGTCCTTGACTCCATCTGTCAGCTTCCTCGTTCCTGACAAATACTTCCCTGACCCTGTTCTCTGACCAGTGAACTGCTAATGCGACAGGTCTCTCCTCCCCCACACCAGGCCAGGTACTCCAAGTCATCGACAATACCCCTGCTTTCCTGGCCGCTTGTGTGTCAGATTCTCCTCTGGATCTGGAACTCCTAATAGACAAGGTGCGGGTCCCAGGAGTTTCAAAGGTGCCACTCTGGTCCAGGCCAGCATGTGCATAAAAGGTTAAGAGAGGAAGAGCGCCCAGATGGGGTGCCAGACTGCTGAGTCTTCTTCTATGGAGAAGGTTCTGCCCAGGGGGAGCTCCCACCTGCTGCCTGCCTATCCCTGACCTGGCACGAAGCCCTTAAGCTTCTCACTACCAGCCCTCCTTTTAACTGACCTTTCCAAGCCTCAAGAAGAGCTTGGGAAGAACATGCCTCCCTTCTAAAAAAAAAAATAAATGGACAAAACTGTTCTTCCTGGCCTGGGGTACTGGCCAGTGTCTTAAGTCTTTCTTAAGACTCTAGGTTTGGAGGACCTATATTACCTCCACGCTAAATCCTGAAAGCCCCTTGCCCCACCCCCGCCTAGATAGTCAGTCTTCTCCTCTTACAGACTCTTTATTCTCTCTATTTTGGACTACAAAAGCAGTCACCAAACCCAAATGCTTTTCTTGGGAATTATATAAAACTGCTCAGACTTGTGCATCTGTTGCATTCCTTGGTGAGGGGCTGGGAGACAGCACTGGTGCCTGGAGTGTTGGATTTCCTCAAACCCTCAGCTGCTACAACAAAACTGACTTACACAGTACTTGCATAAAATTGGAGGGTGCTTTTTGGTTCCTGGCCATACCCAGAGGTGCTAAGGGATCACTACTGGCAGGGCTCGGGGTACCATATGGGGCACCAGGGACTGAATCCAGTTCAGTCACGTGCAAAGCAAGCACCTTACCCTCTATATTCTCTCTCTACCCCCTGGGTGCTTTCCGTTTAATAATTTTTTCTTGAAAATTCCATTTCCTGCTCTTCAGGAACACTGGCCTCTTTGACCAAACACCTCCCCACACACTGACCCTCCCTCCAGTCTCCAAATTTGGGGGTGGTATCAACCCGATTTATTGATTACATCTTCAGTGAGGTAGAGGAAGGTCACATTCTCCCGCTGTAGACCTTCAGACCAACGGGAGAGCTTCTGTCCCCTCCAGTGCCCAGCGTGGCCTTGGTTTCCCACTGAGAACGATGGTCTTCTGCTGTCCTAGATGCCTTGAAGCTAACATCAAGAAGAGGCCAGAAATCCTCATTTCCCAGCTCCCCCGCCACCAAGCCACAGCCAGGGACAGAGAGACGGAGGACAGGTCAAGCAGGGCAAGCTGGAGCAAGAAGAGGACAGATCAAAGTCCTTTACTGTGGAGGAGGGAGCCACACAGTGGAGGGAATAAATAGAGGGGCCCAGGGCAGCAGAGTCCAGGCCCCCCAGGGGCACACTGACTGTAGGAGCAGTGGGTGAGTGGGAGCTCCGACACACCAGCTCCGAACCCTCACCCATGTCAGCCACTGAGGAAGAGACGCTTGTAGGCCTTGTTCATCTGCTCCAAGAAGATGAAGGTGAGGACGGTGTGGGGACCCAGGCGAGCATAGTACGGTGTAAAGCCCTTCCACAGGCTGAAGAAGCCCTCATAGCGGACGACCTTCATCAGCACATCCTAGATAGGTAGGCAGGATGCTGGGGCTAGAACTTGTCCCACTCACCAGTTACCCTCATGGCCCTTCCAGAACATCCAGACCTCCAGCCCAAGCCACCAGCCCAACTTCTCACCAGCCCATTCTTGTATTCTGGCTTCCCATCAATCATTCGCATGTTCTGGATCCTAGAGGGAGACGGGAGGGCCATGAATGATGTCACTGGTGCTCTCCCCCACCTCTCCAGGCCCTCGATTGCTCACTTACCGAGTTTTGACAATGTCCACAGGCATGGAAGCGGCAGTGGTGACCAGGCCGCTGATCATGCTGGCACAGAAGTGGCAAAGGATATTGTCAGAGAAGTAGCCTGAGGGAGGGGAGCAGGGGATGGCAGTCAGCTCAGGGCTGGCACATGCCAATCTAGAAGCTGAGGAGCAGAGCGCCTAGCTCTGGATCTCACCTGAGTCCAGTAAGAACTGTTTGGATTGGGAGTAGGAAGCAAGTTGGGCAGCGTTGACAACAACAGCCCGTGCCATGGTAGGAATACAGCCCTGGGGTGAGAGAAAAGAGTCAGAAATGCTCATGACCTGGCTCCGGGTCCCCAAGTCTCTACCCCTTTACTCACCCTCCACAGTGTAGGGACCCCCTCTTCCTGGGCGATTCTAATCAAGGCGTTAAAAACATTTTTGTAGCCACGGCGCTGGTCAGGTGGGAGTCTGGTGAAAAGGTAGGAAGGAGATGAAAGACTCAGGATAGACAACCCTGTCCCATAGGGGCAAAGAAAAGGAGGCTGGAACAGGCAAAGGCCAGGCTCTAGAGTAGGAAGAAACTAGTCCTGGGCCAGGGAAGGGGCACAATGACTGGAGAGCACGCTTTGAAGGTAAGAGGCCTAGTTGAGTCCTAGTACCACGCGATTCCTCAGCATTGCTGGGAGAAACCCTGGGCTACACTGGCAGCAGTTCTTGAGCACTGACACATATAACTGCCAAACAAAAAGAAGTCAGTTCTTTTATTCTAGATTTCAGGGAATGGGGCTGTGGAGGCAGGCTCAGACCCGGCACTCACCGGCCGTCGGCAGTCATGCGGATAAGAGCCACCTCGGCTGGTGTTCCTACAAAGGCACCAGTTGCACCTGCTGTCATGCCAATCAGGGCCTTGAGTAGGAAGCCAGGGGGCGTACCGTCAGCCCCAGTCAGGCGCTCAAACAGCACAGTATAGATGCCAAGGCGAGTAGTTGTGTAGGTGGCCTGGCGGAGGAGTCCAGCTGATAGCCTGAGAAAGAAGGGATCAGTGCATCAGGCCAAGATATGGAGTTACCATCCCACAACCTACCCCTACTTGCTGTGATCCCAATACCCGGTGTAAATGCCCTTTAGTCCTTCTGTCTTCAGGATGCTGGTAAGGGCATGGAAGCTGGTTTTATATTCTCGGGTCTTGGCCCCTTCCCCGCTCAGCTGCATCCGGTTCTTCACCAGGTCCAGAGGCTGCACAAACACTGTAGCTCCCATCCTGGAGACGAGGGAAGCGTAGTCAATAGGAGCAGTCCAAATCCACCAATGATCGCTGGAGTTAGCAGCAAGGTGTTAGAAGGGCTGGGTCTGCCATGTGATTGTTCAGAAGACTGGTGATTATGTGTATGATTCTCTCTGTGCAATGGGTTCGGTAACTCAGCAGGGGCCATGCAACAAAAGCGTTCCAAGCAGCTCCCTGGGGGTCAAGCAAGTGACCTGGGGCTGCAGGTTGACAAAAATGCAGGCTGACAAAAGGGAAGGTGGAAACATTAATGACCTGGGACTGTATGTAGTTGTCGAAAATCATGCAGTGACCTGAAATCCTAAACAGAAGCTCAGCGGAGCCAACGGATTAGGAAACACAGGTAGCCCTGAGGGGACAGTGCAATAACCCTACATGCAACAGTAGGGGCCTTGCAATAGCCATCAAGAACCTTGCAATACGCCAGGGAGCCCGTTTATCCCGTCTCGGCTCGGTTCACTGAAAAAGATCCAGAGACGAACCGGGCCCGTTTCCTTGCACCCGTCCCTTCCTCCTCCTTTCCCATTCCTGGGGCCTGAGCTTACCCGGCCAGGCCCCCAAACAGGAACTTGACGGACTTAGGGGAGGTACGGGGTTTTCCGTCCATCCCGCCGGCCCCGGGACTCGCCGTCGCCGCCATGGCTCTCAATGGCCCTCAGGTCCCGGTCCCCGATGCGCGCGGCCCGGCTTGCGCCCAAGGTGACACCGCGCGCGCAAACGGGGCGAGGGCGCGCGCGCACGCCCCTCCAGCGCTCAGGTCTAGCACCAGCTGGAAGCTTGCGCAGGCGCAGACGTGCCGGCGCAAAGGCGACCGGGAGCGAGGCGGAGCAGAGGGCGGAACTTGAAGAACGGCTGAAGGGAAGAGGTGCGGCTGGCCGAGGACGCAAACGTAGCGCTGTCTCATCAAATTGGAATCGCGGGAAACGAGGGAAGAAATGGTCTGCAGATCTCGCGAGATTAAGTGAGCTCGCCCACCCAGGTACGGAAGTCTCTCGCGATAGACGAGCAGGTGTCGGCTAGTGGGAGTGATGTCGAGGTTCTCGCGAGACTTGGGGCACCGTGGCGGTCGCGGCGGCGGCGGGAGGAGGGTTTGTGACCGGCTCTTTCTGGTATTCCGGGCAGCAGGGAGGCACCGGCCGGGTCTTCTTCGGGGCCTCGGCGCTCCCTCCGCTTCCACCTTTCTCCGAACGGCCTTTCGGGACCGGAAGTCCATCCTCAGCGGCCGGCGTGGGAGCGCTCCGGTTCGCCTTGCCGGAAGCTCTCCGCGGGGCTGGGAAGACGGCCCCACTGGCCGGAAGTCCCGCCTCCTCGGTTCCCCCACCCTGCTGAAGTTTCCCTCGCCCCGCGCGTCCGACCCCCTTCACCGTTTTGTGCCGTGCCAGCAAAGGACACGTTGAGTGTCTCTTTCCGCGAGCCCACTGAACGGGTCGGGTACCTCGCTCCCGAAGAGCGGGGCTCCTTCCCGGCGGCCCCCCATGTAGCTGGGAAGCGGGGCCTGGGGGTGCTCGGACCCCTGGGATCCCGAAGAGGCGGAGCGGGCGCGGAACCCCGACTGGCCCCTGCGGCTCGCCCCTCCGGCTCCGCCCTCGCTGTCATGCACCCTGCGGCCTTCCCGCTTCCTGTGGTCGTGGCCGCTGTGCTGTGGGGAGCAGCGCCCGTCCGGGGGCTCATCCGCGCGGTGAGTCGGGGGCCTCCCGGCGGGTCGGGGGTTGCCGAGGGAGGTCGCGGGACGAAGGGCGATGGTTTGTCCGCAGACCTCGGACCGCAATGCCAGCATGGACTTTGCAGATCTTCCGGCTCTCTTCGGGGCTGCCCTGAGCCAGGAGGGACTTCAGGTGACTTCCTTTCCTTCGGATTCCTACACCTCCGGCTCGGGGTTGGGGGGCCTTGCCTTGGGTGACGCTGGAGGGAGGGAGGGAGGGAGGGAGGGAGGGAGCGTCGTTTGAGGAACCGAGCGCAAAGCGCGTGCCCGCGAAATGGAATCTGGAACCTGGAGGGAGAAGACCGAGGGTGTACCCCGGCCCCGAAGCCTCGGAGGGAAGCGGGCAGGGCCAAGGGTCAGTGCGGTCTCTTGGGTTTTACCGCCTGGTACGAGCCCGCTCTCTCTGAGCCTTGATTATTTGTAACACAGAATGGAACAGAAACGAGCCCAGGTATTGTGAGCCTTGAATTAGATAAGCAGCCATGCAGTCCTTCATCCCAGTGTCGGGCACATGCCAAGGCCATAGTCAGATAAGCTGTGATACGGTTAACGGAAAAGTGAAGGCAGTGTATCCTGTAGGTATGTGCTGGAGAGGGAAATAGGAAACAGCTTCAGAGAAAGTGACTGGGAAATGAACTGCAGTCTGGAAAACTGGAAGAATTTTTCTGACTTGCTTTGGATGTGGAAGTTATCAGGGGCAGGGAGTAGGACAGCAAGGGATTGTAAAGGGACGTTTGAGTACAGTAGTCCCCCTTATCCATAGTCACTAGATTTAGGTACCCTTGATCAGGTTAGAAATTATTAGAAGGTTTTGGGCAGAAGCGATGGGATAGCGGGTAAGGTGCTTGCCTTGCACATTGCTGACCTGGGTTCGATCCCCAGCACCCCATAAATTCCCCTGAGCCCTGCCAGAAGTCTTTCCTGAGCACCACTGGTGGCCCAGAAACAAAATTTATTATTAAGAGGGGCTGGAGAGGATAGTACAGTGGATAGGGCGTTTGCCTTGCACGCAGCCAGCCTAGGTTCAATCCCTGGCATCTCATATGGCCCTCTGAGCAGTGCCAGGAGTAATTCCTGAGTGCAGAGCCAAGGTAACCCCTGAGCATCATCAGGTGTGACCCCCCCCCAGCCAAAAAAAAAAAAAGCAAACAAAAAAACCAAACCATTAAGAGCACTCTTTTTTTTTTTGGTATTTTGGATCACATCAGGGATGCTCAGGACTTTATTCCTGACTCTGCTCTCCTCTCAGTGATCACTCCTGGCCAGGCTTGGGGCGACCAGGTAGTGCTGGAGATGGAACATGGGTTGGCTGCATGCAAGGCAAGCAGCCTAACTATACTATTGATCTGGCCTCTGAAAATTTATTTGGACCTCCTGACTGCTAGGGTCTGTGGGCTACTCAGGGCCCAAGCAGCATGGTTTTATATCTTCCGGCTCTTGCATTAAACTGCTGGCCCAGTTAGGCTGAGATTAACTGGTGGGCCCGCTAAAACATAAATAAGTCTATTTGGTTTTGGGGTTTATGGTTTTTTTTTTAAAACCACACCCCGATCACTCCTGGTGGAAGACCATATGCAGTGCTGAAGATCAAACCCACTTGGTATTATCTCTCCAGCCCCCAAATAAAGCTGTTTTGAAAGAGACCACATATTCATTACAGTATGTTGGTCCATTAATTACTTTTTAAAATTTTTATTGTGCCTAACTTAAAAATTAAAGTTTATTGTGGATCTTTATAGTAAGAGATAGCACATATTGGATTTGGTAGTATCCGCATTATACTTTTTATTTAAAAAGTTTGTGGGTGGCGGGTGGAGCCATAGTACAGTGGGTAAAGTGCTTCTCTTGCATGCAGCCAACCTGGGTTCGATCCCCAGCATCCCATGTGGTATCCCCCCCACCCAGCACCTCCAGGAGTGGTTCCAGAAGCAGAGTCAGGAGTAACCCCTGAGCACTGCCAACTTTGACTCTAAGATGAAGTTTTGGGGGCCAGAGAGATAGTACAGCAGGAGGAGCACTTGTCTTGCACTCAGTCAACTGTGCTTGATCATGCACTTGCCTGTTTGTTCCTGGCACCACATATGGTCCCCCAGTCCCCACCAGGAGTAAGAGTAAGCCCTGAACAAGCCAGGTGTGGGCCCAACCACCTTCAAAAATGAGACTTGAGGGCTCGCTTGGTGGTATTTAAGGGAGCTACTAGAACAGCGGTTGGGCGTCTGCCTTGCACGCAGCCAACATGGCCGACCCGAGTTCGATTCCTCCGCCCCTCCCGGAGAGCCCGGCAAGCTACCGAGAGTATTCGATATGCCAGACACAGTAACAACAAGGTCTCCAATGGAGACGTTGCTGGGCCCGCTCGAGCAAATCGACGATCAACGGGAGGGCCTTTACCTTACCTTACTCTGTGTGCTTGGAGGTATATATGTCTTCAGGAATTTTAGGATCACATGGGTTGGATGCTCAGAAGGGAGGGATAGGAGGTGTACAGTATTTGTAAGCCAGAATGCTCGACGGGTCTTGAGGGAAGTGAACTTGAGATGAAAACCAACTTGTTTGCTTCTCTTCCTTAGGGGTTCCTTGTGGAGGCTCACCCAGCCAATGCCTGCAGTCCCATTGCCCCACCCCCCCCAGCCCCAGCCAATGGGTCAGTCTTCATTGCGCTGCTTCGAAGATATGACTGCAGTTTTGACCTCAAGGTTGCTGAACATGGAATGGGAGCAGGGAATCTGAGGGTAAAATGAACACCAGGACCAAAGGGAGGCAAGGCCTATGATGCTTCCTTATCCCCTGCCTTGTCTCCCTAGGTCCTAAATGCTCAGAAGGCTGGGTATGGTGCAGCTGTGGTACATAATGTGAATTCCAATGAACTTCTGAATATGGTGTGGAATAGCGGTAAGGTTGAAATACCTTCAGAGCTGGATTTCAAATTAATGCTGAGATTGAGATGGGGGAGTGAAGAGGCTGAAAGTTTAAGAGCCAACCCTTAGGGAGGATGCAAGGAGAAGTCAAATGCCAGGATTATTAAAGGATTTTAGGAATGGAAGATTGGGTTCCTGATATAATGTTCTGATCCCTACAGAGGAAATCCAGCAACAGATCTGGATCCCATCTGTGTTTATTGGGGAGAGGAGTTCCGAGTACCTGCGCACCCTCTTTGTTTACGACAAGGGGTAGGATGTATGCTGCTTCCTATTCCCTTTTCTGGCTGGGGTAGGGGTTGCAGGCAGAGGTCATGCAGGCAATGCCTGGATCAAACTCAGGCGTCCAGCATGCTTTGCATGTGCTCCAGCCCTTTGAGCTATCTCCCCAGCCCCACACATCCCAACCTAGGCTGGTCCTCTGTGTCCCAACTATTCAGCCTATTAACTTTCTTCCTGCCCTTTTCCCTATTCATGTGCCTTATTCAGACTTTATCCCTTTGCTTTTCTTAATGCTCCTTAACCTTTCTGGTTTTTCTTTTCCTAGGGCCCAGGTGCTTCTGGTCCCGGACAGTAGTTTCCCTTTAGGCTATTACCTCATCCCTTTCACAGGGATTGTAGGACTTCTGGTTTTGGCTATGGGAGCAGTAATGGTAAGTAGCCCAGGGAGCATGATAATGAGGCCTTTAAAGCCAGACTGGATTTGAGGTTGGCAGATGGGGATATTTTGTATGTTCCCTAAACCATTTATACTCTTCCTCCCTCAGATGGTTCGTTGTATCCAGCACCGAAAACGGCTTCAGAGGAATCGATTGACCAAAGAGCAACTGAAACAGATTCCTACCCATGACTATCGGAAGGGTGAGAGGGAAGGGGAAAAGGACCTTTCCCACAGTTGAGCTGTTTTGGAAGAATTTGAACTCAGGAGATAAGGAGCAAAAAAAGATGGCTTGTAGATGAGAAGCTCCTTGTACTTCTTTTTACCCATGTATACAGGGAAGACGGGGAAAGAGTAGAGTAGCCAGAAAAGGGGAGGAAAGGCAAAGATGAAAGGCCTGGCATGTGACTCAGTGGTAGAGCATCTGCTTTGCATGTATGAGTTTCCTGAGATTCTGTCCCTGGTACTGTCATTAAATGGAATACTGGATGAGGGGAAGAAAATGGAAACCAGCAGGAAAAATGGAAAGAGAGGATATAGTCTGAGGAGGTTCAAACAGGTGAGGGGCTGGGTCTTTAGGTTCTACAGCCTCTAGTGCCCATATAAGGCCATAGCAGAAGCCCTGCCCCCCCCAACCACTTCCTGTTCCTCCCGCTCTCTAACCCTGCCACACACCCATATATATCCCCCCTTCCCTTCCGCACCCTCCCCCCTCTTACCTCCACTTCTCTTTGCTTGTTTTTCATTTTCTGCCTTGGCTTTATTCTACCAGTCTTAAGTGGTTCTAAATCCAGTCAAGGAAAGTCATTTTTGCATGTTTTATCTCCATCTTAGACCACCCAAAAGTTTATGGGTAGTCTGGTGGACCATGGTCAGTGTTTCAGTAAATGATTTGTTTCCCCCCCTAGGAGATCAGTATGATGTCTGTGTCATCTGTCTGGACGAATATGAAGATGGGGACAAGTTAAGAATCCTCCCCTGTGCTCATGGTGAGGTCCTTATTTTATGTGCCTATGCCTGTGCCTGAGCCATCACAGGCACTGAGTGCTTGATCTGAATTCCTCTCCACAGCCTACCACAGCCGCTGTGTAGACCCTTGGCTTACTCAGACGCGGAAGACCTGCCCCATCTGCAAGCAGCTGGTTCATAGGGGTCCTAGGGATGAGGAGCAGGATGACGAAACTCGGGGGCAAGAGGGTGATGAGGAAGGGGAACCGAGGGATCACCCTGCCTCAGAACGGACCCCACTTCTTGGTTCTAGTCCCACACTCCCCACCTCCTTTGGCTCCTTAGCCTCAGCCCCTGTTGTTTTTCCTGGGTCTTCAGCAGATCCACCGCCCTCTCCCTCTTCATCTACCACATCTACCATCCTGGTCTGATGGTCGTGTTCTCCCCTACCACCACCTCTGGCAACCAATTTGCACAATCCCTGTTCTTTCCCCTAGTCTTGTATGTTGAGTGAGGAATAGCAGGACTTCTTCCACCCCATCCTTTGAGGGAATTGGAGGGGGGTGTAAAGGGACTAAATCTTTACTTCCCGAGTAAATAAAATTGTCTTTTGTGGATTAAAGAAGGGGGGTGAGATTATTCTCACATAGAATTCCTGTTGTGGGAGACTATTCCTTTTTTGGCCATAAAGGGGCAAGGGAGTCCCAGGTGCTGCTAACCTGTTATCACAGGGATAGCCCTAGCAGACAATTGTTGTGACTCAAAGGGGGTGGTGGGAGCCCCACCTACACATGAGAATGACTCAACTGGCACTGCCTTGCCCACAGGTCTGGACCCATTCTCTGGTCTGAATGGCTCTTTCCATTATCTGCCAACTCTAAGATAGCATTCTTAGGACAATCTAGAAATGAATGCTACTGTGAAGGGCTTGGATGGGGAACCTGGCCAGGTACACACTCAAGGACATGGAAACCATAGATTATTCCTATTAGTGCATCAATCAAATTTCCTACAATTTCTAAAGGGAATTGGCCCTGGTGACTTGGGTCTCTATCCTGACACCCAGCTAAAACCACACAGCAACTTGTTAGAATCTTTTTTTATTCAGAAAAAAAAAAACCCAAAAAACAAAAAATTTTCCAACCACACACAGGAGGGGTACAGGTAGGGGTAGGTGTCTGTCCATCCAGCCCCAGCCCCTAGCCCATGTGGTTTTGGCAGCAATAAGGGGTGTGGGGTAATGGCCCCAAAACAAAAATGGTGTATGTGTGTATGGGAGGGAGAGGGGTGCAAAAGCAGTGGGGAGTGATGGGGGGGAGACAAGGTCAGTACTGGGCGCGTCGCAGGTGGGAGGCCATTTCATAACATTTCTTGTTGATCATACCACCGTGGACACCTTCTTTGCCCATCAGCAGGACTAGCGCTGGAGGAAAGAGAAAGGAGGCTAGGATCCAGGTGTCACCCTCCCCCCCACCCAGCTGTTCAGCAGCTGTCAGCCCAGGGGGTTGTAATCCAAGCTCATCTCTCCCAAGTCCCCCTCCCCCCTTCTCAACATGCAGGCAGGCTGTCAGTCACTCTCAAACAAAAGGGCTTTTCAGAAGGGGTGGGGAATTAAGCATAAATACCCAGATATGAAACACTAAAATTTAGGGCTTAAGGCCCACAGAAGACTACTGACTCATATTCAGGCTAGAAATGACTGTATATGAGCCTGCCACCTCCCAAGAATCAACAGAGGAGCTCAAAAGGCAAGCGTTTAGGACTGACTTGACATCCATTCGTCTATTTCCTCCCAGAAAATCAGGAGACTCCTCTGAAAAGGCTTAGGGCAGGAAGGAATTAACAGGTCAGGTTTAACTTCTTCATATTACAAGATGAGGAACTAAACTGGTTGGGCTGTCCAATGCCCTAGCATCCAGCAGACTCGGAGAAGAAAGCTATTACAATTTCCTTCACACTTGGAGTCACATAAGAGCCTAAGAGATCGCTGAAAATATGTTGGGGATCTCTAAGTTAAGAAAGGGTAAGACACAGAACTCACTCTTGGCAGTCATGGTGACAGTAATGTTGAAGGTGGGGGCTCCGCCAGTGCTCTTGGTACGAAGATCCATGGTAAATTCCCCGTCCTGCAGCAGTGAGTCCCGGATCACAGAACATTTCTGGCCCCCAAGTGTCAGCCCATTCACGAAAAAACTTGACCGGTCTTTGCCAACCAGGACACCAACCTCAGCTGGCTGCAAGGTGAACCAAACATTGTCAGTACATCAGGATTTCCGACTCCAAGAACCCACACCTGCCCTCCGTTTTTCAGGAGCTAGACCTCTAAGGAAAAGAATTGTATTTGGTACACATCCATGAAATTTGTGGTACTTTTAGATCTACAAGTCACTGCACTGAAGGTTCGCAGTTCTCACCCCCTGAGCATGGTAATGGCTGACATAATCCTGTCGAGAATCTAGAGCTCATTCATTAAGAAAACCAGTCCCACGAACTGGGGGTGGTCCACGTCAGTTAGGAATGGAGTGGAATGGGGAGCCTCTGGATGCTCAGAACTCTCCCTCAGGAAAAGCAGAAGCAGAGAGGGGAAGGGAGGGGGCGGGCTAGCAAGAGAAGCAACTTTGCCCTTATTTGGTCAAAGGTTCTGCAGGAGAGTTACGGGCCCGGACGCCTGGGTCTCCAAGTAGCCTAGAGTCTGCGTCCAGGTATCCAAGTCCCAACAAGAGGCGGCAGCTTCCCGGGGGCTTTCCGGTGAAGTTGGAAAACTTTTGGAGGAGACCGGGAACATTCCCCCTCCACTCTTACGCCCCAAATCCCCACATCCGGTGCCCTCCCGCCCGGAAATCCCCTTCCCCCCTTTCAAACTTCCGTCCCCCTCCCCACTTCCGGGCACTGTGGTCAGGGGGGTGGTGGTGGGGACAGCAGCAGTCATCCCCATGTCTTTCACTTCTGCAGCCTTAGAAGTTCTCAAAGTTTCCCTGACCCGGGCCCCGCCGGATGGCGGGAAGGGAGGGCGAGGGGACTTCCGGGTCGGTCTCGCAGGAATGCTAGGTCCGACGTGCCACTCGGAGGTGGGGGAGGGCGCGGGGCGGCCTCGCCCTCTAACGGGGTCGGCGGGGCGCGGGTCCCACGGAGGACGGCCAGGGGCTCCGAGCACGCGCCCGGGGCCCCCTCTCCGGAGGGGCAACAATGGGGAAGGGGCGCGCGGAGGGCCGGAAGTGGGGCCGGGGGCCGGGCTGTCCCGGCCCCTTCTCGAGCCCAGGCCCCGGCGTAACCGCGGCGCGTGCCCGCCCCGCCCTGGAGGAGGCGGAAGTGGCCCGCCGCACCGGGCGCCGCGCCCCTCCCCGCCCGGTGCCCCGGATGTAACGCCCCGTCGCGGAGCGGGGCGGCGGGCGGCGTGGGGGCTGCCGCCCGGCGGACGACGGAGGGGCACCGGAGGGCCCCGCGCCCGTGCAGCCGCCGTTCGCGCCGCCCCCCCGGGCACGGCCTCTCGCCGCCTCTGCGGACCGCGCCGCCCCCCGGCCCTCTCACGGCCCAGCCCCTCGGCGCGCCCGAACCGCGCCGGCCTCGCGATACCGTGATGTTGAGGAAGGTCTTCCCGGGGACGGCGGCCCAGACGGAGGGCGAGTCCTTGTAGCCCACGATGGCCGCGTCCTGACAGGTCCCGTCCGCCATGAGGTTGTCGATGTAGGCGTTCCACCCGGCCATGACGCTGCTGCTGGGGCTGCTCTCGGCGCTGCTCTGGGACCGCGCGCGGGGCTCGAGCTGCCTCGGCTCTGCGGGCGGGGGGAGGCGGAGAGCTCGGGCACGCGCTGCCGTCCGGACCGCGGGTCTGCGAGCTGTGCAGCAGCCCTCGCACCGCCACTTCCTGCTCCTCCTCCCCCCTCGATTTTTATTTGCAAAGGGCGGCCGGGGCGGGGCCTGCTTCCCATTCCCGCCCACCACCACCAGCCCCCCGCTTGCCCAGATACTGAACTTTGCAAATGCAATTAAAAATATCCCTCCCCCGATTGCAAAACTGACTGAGTTCGATGAAAAGCTGTGTAAAAATAAAAGGGGGGGCGGTTTGAGGGAGGTTCGGGTTAAGGCTCGCTCCACTTCACACAGAATATGTAAACTGCATTTGGTGCAGGGAGGAGAGTCAAGTTAGAAGAGGGACGGAAAGTGAAAGGGCGTATTAGCAGGCTGCAAACTGCGTAAATTAAAGAGTACTCGGAGAACGCAGAGTTAAACGGAACGACTACCCCCCTTCCCCCACCTCCGCCGGAGGGAAGGAACGGCGGGCAGCAGCGGCGCGTGCGCCCGCGCCTGCGCCGGGGCCAGAAGCTGAAGCGCGTGGGGCGGTTGGGGCCGGCGCCCGCCGGGCCGGGCCAATTTGGACCCCTTGCAGAGGCGTACGGGGGACGTGTCTCTTAGTCTGGCAGGAGGGGCGAAGGCACGGCTGGTGAGTTGCTGCCTCTCCATTCACGACTTTGTCATTCAGGAAGAGTGCAAAGAATTTGAGAAAATACCCGGCTCGTTCCTAGCGTTGAAAGCACCCAGGGGACAGTAATTGCCCAGGTGGCTCAAGTTGTGCTCACTATTAGAGCCCGCGTCCCACTTCAAGGTTTTTCTTTCTCCTCCTGCTGGAGGCCTAATCCCCACGTCTCAGCTCCGCCTGTCCAGCAGTTTGGGTCTTGGGCCGTACCCCTTGGCCAGTCTCTTCCCAGCTCATGAGGCGCCCGCAGGGCTAGAAAGCGGGACTTTTTTTCAAGGCGGAGGAACACGAATAGGGTACAGATTTGCAACTTTTTTAAGATGGGGAAAGTTCCTTCTACTTCGCGACCGTGGCAGTTTTTCCCCCTCTGCAGTAAAACTTGAAAGAACTGTGCGGTTAGTTAGCTTGCCGCCAACTGGAAAGGGGGTGGGGCAGGACTAGCCGCGGACTCGGGCGAACTAGTCCGGTCCGCGCGGCGCTGGCCCCCGAGGGGCTGGGCCGTTTCCGGTCCCCTGTGGGGGGAGGGGAGCCGGCGGGGCGGGAAGGGGTTTCGCCCCTTTCTCGGTCCGCCGAGCGGGGCGCGGGTCCCTCACTGGGCACCCGACGCCCCCGCCCTTCCCCGGCAGCCTCCCGGCTGAGTCAATGGCTGTCTCGGGCGGGGCCGCACGTGGCGGCGCTCCCCGCCCAGCGTCTCTCGACTGCACCCCTGTGACCCCCAAAGCGGGAAAACCCCGGAAGGAGCGGCCGGAGATGAAGGAGGAGGGCGAGCCGCGAAGTCGGGATCCCGGACGGCCCGGGACTGGCGGGGCGGGCAGGGCCGGGAGCTCGGGGAGCGTGAGTCACGGGGCGCGGGCCGCTGCGGCGCCGGCCAGGGGGACCTCGTGACCCTTGGCGACCCGCGGAGAACGGGAGCGGCCCCCGGTCGCCTCCGGCTGCACTTGGGCTGGGCCCTGCAGATCCCGCCTGCAGCACTTGCAGTGCAAGCAGCGGGCCGTCGGACTGGCCTGAGACGCTCAGATCCTCACAAAGCGCCCCCGTCCCCGCCCCAGTCCATTCATTTTCCTCGCAGGATTCTGCACCGTTCATTGAGGCGACGGGGCCGCGCCCTGAAGCGTCCGCGGTCGTGAGGGAAAAGGGTCCGGCTGACAGGCCCGCGAAGGGCAGGGAGGGACG